ATTGTGGTACATGAAGCCCATAAAGAGGCAAGTATCAGTTTATTTCTTATCATCACTCAGGAAGTACCATTGCTATACCATTTTATAATTGACAGAGTGAAGTAACTTCCTACGGCCACACAGTTCCTAAGTTCCACAGTTTCCTGGCTGAGAACCACAGATTTTCTGACTGAATTTCAAACAAATGCTCATCTATTGCAGTAGACTGCTATTTCTGGTGATACTAGACCAAGTGATTCCAGAATTAATTAGAATTGTATTCTACACACACACACACACACACACACACACACACACACACACACACACACACACCTTATATACATACGTGTGTGTATATCTGTAACAAAACTTGACTGAAATCTTGCTTGTACTCACATGCTGCATACTACAGTACTTTACTTATTTTTTATTTGTTTGGTTTTGGTATCTTGAGACAACAGGTCACTATAGCCCAGCCTGTCCTGGAACTCACTATGTAGACCAGGCTGGCCTTTAACTCACAGAGATCTGTCTGCCTCTGCCTCCTGAGTGCTGGGATTAAAGGTGTGTGCCACCACAGCCTGGCAGCTACAGTATTTCTAAAGTTTCTTTTTTTTTTTTTTCTGCTCTTCAGAGGGATCGAAAGTCCTACACCATGGAGCTAGAATCAGGTGTTTGGTAAGGACTCATTTTTCGGCCTGTTTCTCTGTGTGTCCTCACATAGCAAAGGATAAGAGAGGTTTCTGGGGTCTCTTTTGCAAAAACATGGATCTTTCAACCTTGTGACCCAATCACCTTCCGAATGCCTCAGTTCTCAGCATTTTCACACTGGGGATCAGGACATGAATATGTGAATTCTCTTTATAACAATGGCTTGCTGACATGGTGTCATGACTCAGGGTGGGCTATGGCTCACCACTTAAAAAAAGGTATTTGTGGGCATCCCTCATCCAAAATGGTTTGGATCAGAAGTGCTCACTGTTTCTGTGGTTTTTTAACACACACACACACACACACACACACACACACACACACACACACACACACACACAAAGCTTAGGGGTCGAGACCCAAGTCTAAATGTGAAGCTAATTTGTTTCATCTATCTGTTATATGCATAGTCTGAGATAATTTTATAAAATAAGTTTTAGTACAACTGTGTAGAAACTATCACATGAGGTTAGGCTGATGTCAGGCATGCCATTTCCTATCTGTACCATTATTTGTGCCCCTAGGAAATTTTAGATTTGGGCAATTTGAATTTTAGCTGTCTGGATTAAGGATACTCAACCTATATAGACAATTTTCATAGACTCTTCTGTTTTAATGTTCTCAGTGTCTCTTTAAGAATAAATACAAACACAAACAAAAATCTTGCAGCCTAATCCCTTTAGTCTGGAATAGATGACTGGGAGGCAGCCCACAGGAGGCCACTGTGTGACACCTTGAGATTGTGACTAGGAAAATACCTTCAAGTTCTACCAGGAATCTCGAAAGTCCTCTAAGATGCTGTGCTTCACAGAGAGTAAATGATGGGACCTGTCCTGAGAAGCCAAAGTGGGAAAGGCCAGCAACTACCAAAGATGTTAAGAATATTTAATTACACTTAGAAAAAAAGGTCTGTATGCAAATATTTTAAATATGCAAACCATGGCATTAGATTACTAAATTAGTGGAATTACGTTTCAGGACCAAATGCATCTTGGCTTATGTGATAGAAAACTCACTTTACTAGAGTTTTTATTTTCTGGTGTCTAGAGTAAAGTCTCGCAAAGTTACTGTGACTGCCATTCGCTCTCATGAGAGGCTGCGAAAAGCAGACAGGAAACAGCCCCTCCCAGGGCAAGCAGAGGCGCTCTCAAGCTTGGCGCTTGTTGGCAGGCCTTTTGCCCAGCTTCAAAGGGGGTGGAAGGGTGGTGACAGGCTCCAGCCTTGGAATGCAGACACTTCTCAGTGGCGGGGCAGGCTCAGCCCTGTGGGAAAGCCCCCGGTTCCTGCCCCTCTGAACTGATAGGAAACTCTGGCCTGGTGCTTTCCCTCCCTTCCTGGTCCTGTGAGATGAGAGCCAGGGAAGGGGCAGTGAGAGGCCAGAGCAGGCCTTTTCTGGGGATCCTCCAGACCCCTAAGAATGTCATGTTCCCCGGGAAAGGGCTACATCAGCTGGGTAGGCAGACTGCTAACTCGGCAGTTTACTGACACAGTTGCTGCAGGATTGTGGAGGAAGGAAAGGTGAGAGACGAGTCCAGGACCTTCCAAAGGTTCAGTTGGGAGACTGAGAAGAAAACAGGGCAGCTAAAACCAAGTGGAAAGACTGAAGGCACAGATGGCGGGGAGAAAGGCTGGGTGTGTGCTCCTGACAACAGTTTGTTTTGCCCCTCAGCTGGAATAGTTAAAACAGAGTCTTAATTTCCACCATCTGTCACCTGATATGATGCAGACTCTAGATACTTGGACATTTGGTCATGACTAAGAGTTGAAGTGGATCTTGGGAGTACTGAAAATGCTGTGTCCTGGATGTATGATATATTCATTCATTAGCTCAGATTTCATTTACCTTTCAGAATACAGTTGAGGAGTGTGGTTTTAATAGTTCCTTCAGTAAACGCAAACATGTTAATGAAGTCCGTTTGCTTGTTTTGCCTATTTTCATGCAATAGGTGTGCAATGATAACACTACTATTTTTCACATTTGTGATTGAACCGAAGGTTTTACATGCATGGCAAATACTCTTCCGCTGATCTACACTCTGCCCTCTGCAATAGCGTTATCGAATAAAAGGAAAACGCTCAGCTCCTCTGGTCTGGTTCTTCTTCACTTTGTAGCCAGTGAACCTAAGCTCAGTGGGAGCGGAGAGATTTCCAGCAGCAGCACAGCAGCCCAGGTTTCTGACTGGCCAGCCAGGGCTTCTCTCCTTACCATCCTGCCCTCTTCTGCTTAACAGGCCAAGACATGGTGCTTCAAGAGGCATAGGTTCTTTCAAATAGAATGGGGCTCTGTAACTACATTTCAAGGTAATGGTTGAAGGATCTTAGTTTCTTGTGTGTTCTGTTTTACTAAAAGATATTTTCTGAATTGAAAATAAAACCAAACAGAATGTAACATTGTCCCATTAAAATGAATAGGAGACCACAAAATAATAGCAACCCCTCCAAAAAAATCGAGTGAAAACATAGGTAAAGGACTTGAACAGACTTTTTCTCTCAAGACAATATACAAATGTTACTTTGTGATATCAGGAATGATTGACATTGTTCATCATTAAAAAAGCCTAACAATGAGCTGTCACCTCACACACAGGATGGCTGTCATAAAGCTTCCACATATTTGTTGTAATGACATGAGGAAATTGGAGGAGGGAATATGCAATGGTCCAAGTGGCTACAGAAAATATTGTAGAGATTCCTCAGAAATTGTGAGTAGAGATACCATATGCTGGCAACCTCACATCTGGGTACAGCTAAGAGTTGAAGTTTGGGATAGTATCATGCCTATGTGCAACGCTGTTCACCATAGTCAGGAAGTAAAGTCTACTGATAGCTGATTGGATGAGAACCCACTTCCATATATACTATCATACACAGACGCATATATTTATAATTCTTCTCTATATAGAGTAGAAAACTCATCTGCCATTTTTTGTTTGTTTGTTTTGTTTTTTGAGATAGGGTTTTTTTTGTGTGTGTAGCTTTGGAGCCCATCCTAGAACTTGCTCTGTAGACCAGGCTGGCTTCGAACTCATAGAGATTTGCCTGCCTCTGCCTCCCAAGTGCTGGGACTAAAGGCATGTGCCACCACCACCCAGCATTTTATTTTGCTTTTTTGAACCTCTTCTGTCATAAGAAGGGAAATTTTACCATTTGGAACAGCATTGATGCATCCAGAACCCATGATGAGGGTGGTAAACCAGGCAGCAAAAGGCAGGCAACCACATGATCCATTTATGCCTGGAATCTGAAGCAGTCACAATCAGAAGTAGACAGCAGAATGGTGGCTGCTGGGGATGGGATGAAGGACTGGAGGGATAATGTCCAAAGGGTATACTGTTTCATATTTTTGTAGGGCGAATAAGTTTCAGCTATTTGCTATGCAAACTTAGTGTCTATAATCAATAATTGTGTGATTAAAATTTTGTTTAAAGAGCCTGTAATACTAGTAATTGGGAGATAAAGGCAGGAGGATCAAGAGTTCAAGGCTAGTCTTGTCTATGTAATAAGTTCAAGTCTAGCCCAGGATACATGAGATCCTGTTTCAAAAAACATCAAAAGAATATCCTGTATAAACTATTCTCACAATGAGTCTCCCAATCAAATAAAAAGATACGAGGAATCTTTGGGGGTTGTTGGACATATTTATTATCTTGACAGTAATAATGATTTATTTTGTGTATGTTGAAATTTATCATATTGTATATATTGTAAAATTGAAAATCTTTGTATATCAGTTATAACTTAGTAAAGCCTTTGAAATAGACAAGAACAAACAGCCTGAGGCCTTGATCCTGGGGTCCAGATGACCACAATCAATATAATGGAGACTTTGAGAGTTAGGTATACTCACCCTGCCCCGAAGTTTGTTCCTACCAGCTCGGCTATCTGCACTGCATGACATGTGCTTTGTGTAGCTCAAATATCTGCTTATATCTCTGACACATATCTGATCTGTTAATTCTTATTATGTGCTTATGACCCCGTTTCTTGGTATCCAGGTAGACTGCAACACAATTCCCAAACAGCTATTGAAAACATCAACTTCAAAATGAAGTAAAATGCTTCTTTGATTCCATGCCATGCTATACGACATACCACTAAAGATGGATTTGTTAGAAAAAGAGCGAAGTGGGTTATTTTGTCTGCTATCTAATTTATCTGCTATAACCTGAACATTTCTTACTCAGACAGAGAGGTCTGTACTCACTGCCTCCTAACAACAGCCATGTATCCCAGCCAGCATCATGTGAGGTGTTTGCTGTTGCTGTAGGTAACACCGTTGACAATGCAAACACCACCATTGTCTCTGACCAATATGGGAAGGACAAGCACACACAAGCTCAGCCTTTGGCTCAAATTCTTCTCTTGATGCAACAAAGTGATATCTGCATATGCTCGAGAAATCACAGGTAAAACACATGCTTTATTTCTCCTTGCCTCTTTAATTTGGAAAGGAATGGCGACTAACCTATTACATTTTGTAAATAGATTTTAGAAAGGGAGCTATCTGTAAATTCACTTAGATGTAGATGTCTGCTGAGGGGTGTAATGGGTCTGCCTAACAAGATGGCAAAAGCGGACAAGCTGCTGAGTGCTGGTCTCAGTTATTATGGGAAACGGTAGTATTTATCTCTCCTGTGAGGTATTGTTGCTGCTGACGAGTTTGGAAAATGACCCTCATGTGGAAAGGCATATAGATCATGAGTGGGATTTGGGACATCCTCAGGACCTTATGGAATTGCTGGAGAGGGACAAACAGATGTGATCAGCTTTAGGTTTTCAGCAACTGCTGGCATTTATAGATCACAGGAGTAAATGTCACAGCAGCTCATGGTGGGGTGGACAGGGTGGATGTTGGAGACAGTCTGAAATAGGATGAGGATCTGAGCCTTCAGAAGAGCCAGCTTCAAGACGTGAAATGAATCCTGAGAGGATGAAATCTGGGACACATTTAAGAACTCTGCCTCCAGTTTAGAGAGAAAGTTTCATATGGCTCTGTGGTTTATAACTCAAATGATATTAATTGGTTATATTGGCATTACAATTTTCAGGTCTAATTACTAATAATCAAGCTACCAAAGTATTTCAGTCTGCAGCGGTGTATAGATAAAGAGAAGCAAGGGTATTACCAATGAGTGTAGATGTGGAGCCAGAGGGCTGTGTAGGCCTATCCCTCTGTTTAGCACATGTCTTCCTGAGGTAGGTTGAGTGCCTGCATTCTCTTGGGAACAGTGGAGTTGAATGGGATGATGTAAGTGATATGCTTTAGATTCTTACAAGGTCAAGAGGAGCCATCTTCACTTTAGGTCCTGGTTGTTCTGACTACAGTGCCAAAACATGTCTCCAGAAGATTGGGGGTGGAAGGAGTATTGGGAATCAACTGAGTCTGCCACAGCCTTTCTGATGTGGAGATAGGCTCCAAGTCTTTGAGTAGGCACTCAAAAGATTCATGTTGGAGACCACCTGGTAGCTGGCTCAGTGATGTTATTCATCAATGGTCTCACCACACTAGAGAAATGCCCATGACTTCTCAGTAGGGGGCAGCATTTCACACTTGTTCAGAAAAACCTTCTTTAGGCCATTTACCTTTTGTAGCTTATGTCAAAGTTAGCCCATGGACAGTTTACCAAGACACAATTGGCATTTTAGTTTGCTAACTATTTCCGAGGTCCTGTTGGGCTGCTGTTTCCAAACCTGCTGATTGAGAATGATAGAAGCATGGTCCTATGAGGTCACATTCAGCCCTGAGTACCCTGTGAGCACTCAGCATAGGAACACACAGATCCTATGTGTTTAATTGACATGGTGAGGTTGTCCAGGCAGGGAGACTCACATGGCTGTGCCATCCCTGTGGATGATATTCAGTGGCCTCCATATGGGGACTGTAGATAACTGGTTTGCTCTATCCTCCTCTAACACAGAAGCCACTTTGCAGGAACCACAGGCTCTGGATGCCTACAGAGAATGCTGCTGCCAGAGGGAGGCACCCAGCAAAAGCACGTGGTGGTGGACTGTCTCATTGGGTGAGCGGCAGACAGGGTGCCGCACAAGAATCGTCTGTCAATAGAGCTCCAGCTTGAAAACTGACCAAATAAAATAGTTCCTATAAGCTGAGCTGCTTAGCAAACCCCAAATTCCTTACTTTTTTTGTTCTCAGCTAATGACTCAACATTGTCACAAAATATGCCATTCTATACTCCCCCCATTTTTTTTATGAAACAGAGCTTTACTCATAGTATTACACTGTAAACTCAGACTCAGAGTCAACGAAATGATTATGTAAATCACTTGCCATGGATGCCATGGCAATTAGGGTTTAGTTTCCGTTTATATTTATTTAGTAGCTTAGATTCATGTAATAGCAACATGACATGAAAGCAAAGTGTCACCCATAGAGACTGGATACTTGCACTGGAGATTCTGTCAGTGTGGAACAAGGCCACACTGTGGGCTTTCAGCAGGCAGTAGTTAACTGGCTGAGTTCACAGACAGGACACTGCAGATGATTAAAAGGTCAATTGTGGCTTTTCAGGTGAAAATTAGTGGTGTTCCAACTTTCACATTGGTTCCATTTATATTCAGGTTATTCACTCAAATAAGTTTTTAAACCTTTTTTTTTCTTTTGATAAAAAATTCTTACAGCCATATATGATATACTGAACATATTCCCCCTGAACTGATGGTCAAAGAATTTTACCTGCATTTTAAGTAAATAAAGCCTCAAGTTACATATTGAACAGAAAAATCAATAACAAGTATTGCTAGAACAATTTATAAGACAATGCTTGATTGATAATCTAAATTTCAATTAATTATAGACCCTGAAAACAGACAAATAAATACCATACCATTACATATACAATTAGTATGCTAGTTGGAGTACTATGAAATAGGAGTGAAAATAACTATGGCTGGGGAAAATGGATTTGTCACCTCAATACCATGTTCCAACATGATTACAGTTCTACAAATTTTTAAATGTCACAGGAAAAAAGAAAGTCACAAATCAAGGCACTTTTCAAACATATGGGTGAACACATAAGGTAGGTGGGCTACAGTAAATTGTGGGATCTCTGCTATAGATAGGCGGCAGGTGCTGTCTGATGGCATTCTTGGCCTTTGGGCTGGTGGAAACCAGTGGTGGGTTACTGAAGTTTGAAAGGCTAACCTAATGGTCTATGGGGCCAGACACAGAAGCGGGCAATGGCTAGCTAGCTACAAAGAGGGCTACAGATGACTCTGGCTCTGGATTGGCACGTTCTGATCTCCACAAACATGTCCTGATCAGTTAACCGGTCATGTAGAGACTTCAGCATAGATGTGTTTCTCCCCCCTCCCATTTTCAGTAATAATCCTTACGGTCAGTATGAGGGAGTTCTCTCCATACCAGATTCAGGAGCTTTTACATTACTCAAATGATCAGCAGTCATTTTTTTTTCAAACACAAGATTTTAATGTATAACCTAGGCTCGCCTCCAATTCTTGAGCCTCCTATTTCAGCCTTTTAAGTGTCGGGATTACAGGTATTTGTCATAATCCCTGGCTTAAATTTCTTCTTATAGCTATATTCATATGAAAAAGTCATGATACTTTTCACCAGAAGACATCTGAAGTTTCCTGGAAGCTCAGAGGACACAGCCTTGAAAGTCTGCTGACATTCACCTATGATAGAGAAAATAGTCTCTGGAAAAAAAAAAAACGAAAAGAGAGACTACATCAACACAGACTTAATCTGGCAGGCTATAGAGAACAAACCCCACCAAGGCCGTGGTGTTCCCAGTCACATGTGGAATATTTTTGAGTGTTGTAGAGCTTGAGCCCACAGGGATGAACTAGACTTGTTGACAACGGAGAGAGTGCAAGATTGCCAAGTGTGCTTACACTCACCGGCAGGACCCATTTTCAGGGTTCCAGGGAAACCGGCTCCGTAGGAAGAAAGGCACACGTGTGCAAGGGCCAGGATTCACAGGTGGACAGGATTTCTGTAGCCTTGCACTCATAGCTTTGTCCTTGGAAGGGTGCTTACTGCAAGCCGTTCCTTGGAGGTCAAGAAAATCTGAGGCACACGAAGGAGGCGGGCTCATTAGGGAGCTGAAACTTTGGCTAGCCTGATGCCTCAGCAGTCAGTTAGTCTGTAGGCTCTGCACACTGTCAGGGTTGCCACACTCTTCATCACAGAGGTAATTAGTTACTTTTCTGTTTTGTGATAAAAAAAACCACCACCAGGGCAATTTATAGAAAAAAAAGAGGTATTGGTTCTAAAGGGTGAGAATCCATAATGGCAGAGCAGAGAGAAGAGGCAGCAGGAGCAGGACAGAGTTGGGGATGGCAGGGTGCTGGGATGAGGTGCAGGGGGCCGGGGGGGGGGGGGAGAGATAGACTTACATCTTGAATCACAGGTAAGAAACAACAAACTTGGGATGAAGTGAGGCTCTGAAACCTCAAAGCCATCTCCTAGTGACAGACTTCCTCCATTAAGGCCATATCTCCTAGACCTCCCCCAAATAGCCATCAACAATTGGGAAACAAGTGTTTAAATGTGGGGCTTATGGGAGACATTCTCAAGGAAATAACTATGGGTACTAGGAGGGGGAAAATCACAACACCTATCAACAGCACATGTACAGCACATGTATCATGTCCCTGGTTATTTTCCAGTTGGTGTTAAAATCTGTGATCTCTTGGAGCATGTGGAGGAGACGTTCCTGTAGACACAAAGCTACAGGATCTCAACACAGGGCAACAACAGGGTAACCAAGAGGAGTCCCAGGGAGGGTGCAGCATAGATAGTGTAGCAGAAGCCAGAGGCCTCGAACCAGAACAGTGATTCTTTGCGACGAACATTTGCAAGGAAAGCTATATGGACAAAAGGGCTCACTGTGTGACTCATTATGTCACACAACAGCTTCCGCACTACAGCTTTCTGTTTTTCTTTCTTTTTCTCTTAAATTTTATTCGGGGTGGGGTGGCTGGGTGGTGTGGTGTTGGGTTCAGCTGCAAGGGCAGAGGGTGGGTACACAGGGATGGGAGCTGAATGGACTCAAGATGTGTGATGTGAAAGACATAGGAATAAATAAAAAGAAAGCTAAAGAAAGGTCCTTTGTGCAGAGGGCTGTGAAGGTAGCCTGCCCCTGCCTTCTGGAGCTGCATCTCTTTGCTGGACATCTGTGACTTTCTGTGGGGTTTAGGAGCATGGCTCTGCCTTCTGTCACCTGCTGTCCCCCCTGAGTGTGGTTTGTGATCAAATTTTCCCTCATGGAGATGCAGTCACACACATTAGGAGCTCACCCTGCTAATTACATCTGTAACAAGCCTATTTCAAATGCAGCCTGTCATGAGGAACCAGGGTTTGGCCTTCAGCATATGGTGTTGACTGGGCTGTAGCTATGATAGGATACTGCCCTTAAAT